ACCTTAATTCGATTTAATTAAATTAAGTCCAACAAACTATTAATAGCGCGCAATGCGCTTTTGTCGTTTGGAGACACAAAAGTAACGCGAGCGCGCGGCTTACGCGCGAACGAAGCGCTGAAAACCTAAACCTATTTCGCCGAAGCATCGAGGGGAATTACGTGAGGCCCAGCGATGCAAACATTCAATTGGATTGAATCGAAAGGATTATGAAGAGACGAGGTTAGTCGAGGTCAATTTTGCCTCGCGCTAGTAGACGGCCAGTGCCTAGACTCCAACTGGCGTATAATATTTTAATCTGTACTCTTAAAACTCACAACAGACGCTAATAAGCTGCTCATTTGAATCGAAACATGATATAGATAAAATACATAAATAGATGCCGCAGGAACTCAAATAGAAACGATTGATTTCGACTTAGGTATATCCAAGGTGAACGAACCGCATTACAGTAGTTTTGTCCAAGTGCTAAGGTTTATATCAATATCAAATCGAATAAAGTAAAAAAATAACTGTTTAGCTGTAGGTATATTTAAAAAACTTGATTTTCGAGTCTTCATAACTGTAAGGTAAAGATAAACAACTTTGCGTAGAATTTGCAGAGTTCCCATTTTTTACTCTGAGCGTACAAAACTGACCTGAGCCTATGCAAGCTGTTTGCGTGTCAAAACTATGTGACAAGTCTTAAGTTAGTTCCGCAGAGGATGCCACGGAATGTTAAAGATTGCCGATCCCCCGGCGGGAATTTTCGGCATACACTGTCTGCACGTGCATCCCTTGGATGGACCTCCAACTTTTAACACTTTAACTGTATAATTCGAAGCGCTGTCAACTTTTCAATGCGCGATTCACGATTCTCCATTCGACGCTGCGGACGCTGCGATTCCTTCGGCGTTGATCCCATATCCTTTATCCTAATGCATAATGCATGTCAGAAACCTGGCGTTTGTCTTATTGCCCTGCTTATTCACCCCATCGTGGCCGCTTGGAAACCGGCGCGCCGGATCGAGTGCGTTGTGTTTCCCTTGTTTCTATCATTTTATTTTCGTATATTTTTGCATTTTCCCATAGCGCAAAACTTGCGGGCCCGTCTATTCGTGCAAATTGTAATTTAATTTTTCATTTTTTATGTGCGGACATTTGAATTTCATGAGGTAGTAAAAGTTGAAAATAATTATTACTATTATTATAATTATTAACATACCTACATAAGTATATATGAAACATTTTTCTTTAACTAAATATAACGTGTTTACTTTTGGTTGTGGACGGCGGTTGGCAGCGACGTGTTCCGTTTGTGGACGGCAGCATCACAACGAATGCAATCTAACTTTCCGGCGCCGCCGCCCGCCGCGTATTGTGATTTTTTATTTAATATTCATCGAGCAGTTTGCTAGCGGCGCGGAGCGTTACGACTCGACGTCTCTGATAAACGAATGACCGACGTGGCCTCCCTAGCTTACGCCTCCCTCGCCACCGCCGCGTCGTCTAAATCTCGCTCGGTTTTGAAACTTTAAACCATCGCAAATAAACTCCACCTGAACAGACTGCAGCATTAATATATACATGAACGTGACGAATGAATTTAATTCCTAATTTATATTTATTTACGTCGACCGGGAAACACTCCCTAGGAGAGATTCGGCGGAACAAGTAGAAAAAGTGCATCGCAAGTTAATTCGATTGAAGCTCGTCGGCGTGCATTAATGCGTTTAATACTTTTTGGAAGTCGCGCGTTACGTGACGGAAAGGACTTTCCACCGTGAGGAGGTAAGAAGCGTCTAGGCGACACGACGCGATTGGCCGCGGCCCGCCGCCGCCAAGTATTTACAGGCGCGGCGTGCAGAAGTCGTGCGACGTTCGACGTCAGGAAACATCGCCACGAAACGGAAACTTTCGGGAGCTGCACAACTTCGACCCGTGTACGTCCGTGAGCGTAGGTATCCCTCCTCGCGTTGGACGACGCATTTTAATCGAGCACGTACTTCGTCAAGTTTTCTTCGGTAATTTTTAATCTTCTTTCTGCTGCCGGGCTGGAAAAATTTAGTGGTCGTTTTCGCGGTGGGTGGTCACATTTCGTAAAGTTTTACAACTCGCTCGGATATTACGCAAATTTGTGAAGTTGTCACAGCGAGCAGGAACAACCCATTCCGATGCCGAAATACGACGTATCACGATTTGTTCGGTTAATAAATAGTCGCGTCGGCCTCTTTCGTAATTTCAAAGAAAACGTAGTTTTGCGCTACAATAATATTTGAGGCTCAAACAACCGCATGCGCGTGAGCTCTCAGTTCGTTCCATAAACAGTGCTAATGCGTAAAATCAACACGGCGATTAGGTAATTGTAGAAACGAGAAACCGATATGCTTCGGTGAGCAATACGTGCACAATATAAACAATGCGTGGCAACATTTTTCGCATTTTATTTTCAATTGCAACTTTGTTGAGCGTAAGTATTGCACTATTCCGTTTGCCCAACATCTTCGACACTTGGAAAATTATTTATTGCCATAAAACTCGTTCTTTTTATTCCCAAAACTGTCCTCTACAATTAAACGCCATACCAGGCGATAAGAAATAGTTCATCATGTTTTGGGCGATCTGTTCGTCAATTGCTAATGTTCATTCCAGCGAGCAGACGTTCGGCATTCGCTGATAGCTCATAAATGTTTAACGCGCACTTACGATATTGTTTCAGCTTTCAGTGCGCTCCGATGCAATTCGTCTCATTTAACATTAACCCAAATTCAACGCGTCTGAATGAGGAATTGGAGTTAAGGTTATGAATCGATTGGGTATTGCCGCCACACAATGAATAGCTTCAATCGATGCGCGCTGACGCTTATTCCGATTTTCTGTTTTCGTTGTTTGCTTGTCGGTGGGTTTGTTTGTTCGCGATGATCGTTCTTGTTGTGCTTGAACTAATCACGCTTACGGCGACGCGATAAGGCGATGAATCAAGTGCGTGCGCTGCACGTAAGCGCGCTAAGATCACGCGCAGATTTCTAATGAGAATGAGGTTCATTTACATAAATGGCGCTGGCGCGCGCCCGCTAAAAACCGTCGCCGAGACAACTGCGACATGAGAGACCGTGAGCATCGCACACTCATCTGCATACGTGCCGTGCTTTATTTGATGACAATTTGAGCTCGTGGAAGAAAAAATCAAATGGTTATAGACGCTATAATACGAGCCACGATTACCTATGTGTCTGAACGATGTCAAGTGCGTTTCCATACATGGCTAATGAGATAAGCGCATCTTCTCATTAACACGGGCCTACCTGACAATTTACCTGCTGCGCACTTGCCCTCTACATTAATTCCAGATAAAGCTAATAGATCAATTAAATTCATTTTAACACAACAACTTATAACCGTAAGTATTTAGTATAAAATATGGCTATTCAGTAAATTAGTAACATCGTAATAGAAATGTATAAATTTTCTATAACTACAGTTACTATCTGTATGAGTTTTGTGTGAAAAAGTAGTTGAATAATATTTTTCTCCAAAAAGTCGCTAATTGCCAATTAAACTCTACCACGGTAATTCTACATTGATTACTATATTAATTCTACTACATTGATTTTTTTTCGAAATTCTACATCGAAATATTTGTTACTAAAACCCAGATTATTAATAAAATAGAGCCCTTCACGTAATACTCTCCCAATTTATAAAAAAAAGTTCTTTATTTCTCTTGACAATTACAAACCTACGCAAATTTTATCATAGTTCACTTGAAATTAAAAATCAGCCCGAATGTATGTATTCAAAAGATGAAATTAGAATTCGTGTAACTTTTTTGTTTATTTTATCAATTGTGTCTGACTTATCATTAATCGTGTTTTTTTTTTCAATACAGTACTATTGTTTTGTGCTCTCCAATCGGTGAGCACTTTAATTAAAAAATATACCCACCACAACATTTAAAAAATGCATAGATACTGCTTATTCGTTTTGTTAGAATGAATAAAATTGCAACACAAACGCTGACAAAGCAAATTTTTCGTATCATAATTAAATGAACCATATGATATGCAGACAATATTTCACGGTTTAATTAATATTTAAACGTAATTTAATAAATAGAAATGCTGCACAATGCAAACTCGTCGAACATCGAACATGCTGCCGAATTGCCGCACTGCCGCAACGCACATGTCGGCACAGAGAGGTAGGGTAGAGAGGTATTAATGAAATGATAAAATCGTATCGATCGCAATCGCATAAACGAAAACGTTTACTAATAAACGTCGGATGCCGCTACACAGTTCGCTGACTGCTTTGTCCACACCGTCGACAGCGTTTTCCACTCATTTGTTCTTCGACGTTCGTCAAACTTGAGCTAATTTGTTTCGTTTTATTGATGATGCATCGCGCCGGGTTGCGCAATCAATTCGTAATTTAATAATCGACCAGTTTGCCGCGCGACCGGCCCCAATCACAAAGTAATGATCTAACATCGAACCCAGCGAAAAACGTCGAATATTTGACGGCGAGCGCGCGTGCGCAGCCTGGACCTCCTCCCAGGCATAAAATGTTAATTCCCATTAATAATTTAATAGGTGCGAATCGCACACCGGTGCTGGGTTATGGCCAAGGACAAGAGTGAAATAAACTTTCGAAAGAACAAAGTGATTAGTTTTGCGTACAACAACGTACGCTTTACGTACCTAATACAAGTTCTAAGATGGACCGAATAATATTTGCGGCGACAATTTCCTACTTCGGTTCGAATCGATTATGCGGGCTTTGTTCTTCGTCGCGGCGCGAAACCAAGTGGAACGTAGAGGTCGAAATAATTACGAGCGCGGTGTGTGCATTACTCGGCGGATAATTATAAATCATAAACGCGAGCGCGAGCGTAGGTAATTAGTTTTTCATCCGACGACGATAATCGCCGCGAGGCGCGCTTGCCTAGTAGTTACGTAATCGAATAGCATTGGCAATGATTATCGGCAGGTGTAAAAAAATCTTGTCGAAAACACACTCACCGTGCGGCGGCGGGCTCTACTTGCGCATCGGTCGGCCGGCTGGATCTGTAACACACACGCAGAGATTAATATCGTTATAGCGTCACTTTTTTGTAATTTCATATCCGAACCAGCGACGTTAAAATGACATTATTGTTGGATGCTGGTCGCCATTGCCGCCAGCGATGACAGTCGCTGCGATTTGCCTTGGTTTGGTCGCGGCGCATCTATAATGTATACGTTTCATTGAATTACAAGCGTGAGCCGAATGAGCCGTTCGATATTCCCAATATGCTTGTCGTCGATGTGCCACTCCAATTATTCAAATTATTCATTTAACGAAATGAAAGCAAGCGAAATAAAATGGAATAAAATGCTGTCGCGTAATGCTGTGTTATGTGTGGCGCGCTTGTTTTCCTGCTTGTTGTTGTACGGGGTGAATGTGAGTGTGTGTGAATGTGTATTGTGTGTGCTTCACGCCATTATCTCGTGCGTCAGTTTTGGCATAAATCGTTGTGAGTTACCTACACCTATGAAGTCGGGAATATGGAAGTGTCGCTCGGATAAATTGAAATCGGAAATATCAATAACGAAAGCACGACGCGTGTGAGCGTGCGCGCACCATGCGAAAGAAGTAGAACGAATCGTAAATTGTGCAAATAACTCTCGTGATAGAAACGTCAATATATTATTGCATTATACAAATTGTATAATGAACATGCCACTCGAACGGACGGGCTTGCGCATCTCGCAGCCCGCTCAAAGTCGGCGCCGCGCTGGCTCGGATAAATTTCAAAATGCGAAGCGTGAAAGAGCGCTAACGAAGAGCAAATATTCGCGGCGGTCGCGTGTAAAAGATGCGCACTACGCCAGCCCAACTCGTGCCCGGTACCTTTGAACAACTTTCCAGCCGAATATGCATGTATGAAACGGGACCATGCGAAAATTATAATCATCGAAAAGACGTGCGTCCACACAGGGGTATTCAAGCGCATGGAAATCACTCGACGGAGATGGCGTCCTCCTCTCGAGAAAAACTATGTTGTAATTTCCATGTTGGAGCAAACCACTCCAAACCGACTTTAAGTATGTCCCTAATAAATGCTATTAGCACAAACTTACCAACTGCATTCAAAGTTCGTTGGTATTTCCGAAAAGGGCTTAAAGCTTTAAATTAGCGCGACTATTCTGCGAGAGGCTTAAATCACAGTTGCTTGATGATTTCCACGCTGAAGGTTGGTTTCCGTTGGTTTCCCGCGATTGAATCGACTGGTCAGTACGACTAAACGAAGCTAAGCTGAGCGTCTGCCTGCCGCTTCAATATTGAAACAGATGATTAGATAGAACAGTCAGCAAGTAACTATGACAAACAAGACACGCGATCCACCGCGATCGGCTGTTCTAATCGCACTAAACTCGCGGGCGTACAATGTTCGCGTTATAAGACGAGCAGCGAGGCGCGTCGCTCCGCTGTTCCCGCCGTGCTGAGGACTTTGTCTATTTTTCTTCTATGTGGCAATTTGTTTGTCCGGGCCAGGTAAGAATTCGTCAACGATTGATAGCGCGGAGGTAGGCACGGATTCGCTGTGCGTGGTGGATCTGGCTGTGGATGTGGATAGCAAACGTCGCGATCCACGATCGCGCAATACCTGTTGATAAACAAACACAAGACGCGTCTTTCAAGGTCCGCGCGACAAAAGAAATGATGTTTCGTAATTGCTGCTCGCGACCATCACGAGAATGTTTATTTGTTTATCGGGTTGGCGATACTGCGAGTTTTTATGACGCTTAAATAATGCAAGCCAGAGCTTGCTTGCTTGTCGTCTCACCTGCGCACGAACGAAAGCAAAACTCGTTGTTGCCTCTTGCGCCATATTTATGCACGCTGCATTTTGTTGCACGGCGTACACCATTCTATTCCATTCAATTTTCTATTCAATTCAAACACAGCGAATGCGATTATTATTGCAATGTCAATCTCAAGGTGGTCCTGCGCGCTGCGGCCGCAGCTCACCGCCAAGGACGCGGGTGTTTACGCTGGCACGCGAATCTCGCTGGTCGCAACATGCTCCCGAGTGACATACGACCTAGCTTCAGCATCAATCTGCCAGCGGAACCATTGTGTGTGCTGCGGATGCCTATCCGTATCTGATTTCCATTTGATGCACACCTTTCGATTGATCTGCGAAGTGGAATCGATTCCATCGATTCGGTAAGATACTCGTTTGCAGTCCGGTTTTTACTGCCTTGACTAATTACATAACGCCGTAACACGGGCGCTTCATGTTCGCTGCTTCTCCGGTGCTTACGCGAACAGCATTGACAAAGGCAACTTAGCTCAAATCCAGCCTGCCTAACTATTGTGCACTGAGTGTCAGATATGCCCCTAAGGCAAAACCGAAACATTCCTCTGGCTAATTCGCCTAATATAAATAATAATAATTATAAATTCGAATCCCCACACAATTGTCTAATTAAATTGCAAGCTTCATAAGTGTTGCCGAAATGGATTTGAATTCGCGGCACGCCAAAGCTTGTCAAAATGATCCGAAGCAAATGAAACATTGGGCATGAAGGACCACTTCAGCCTTCGCGCCTGCTCGCGCATTCAAGCCTCGTTAACTTAATTAATTTTATCATGATGCTCGCGTGTGAACAAGCGCATATCTCCCTGGGTTTTTCGTCGGGGAAGTGCCATCGTGAAAATTATCGTTGGCGTCGTTGCGCTCGAAAGTTCCTTCGCATGTTTACATTAACTCTTCCTGTTTTCCACGAGGAGCGGGAGCATCCATCGGACTGCACGTGCACTGTGCAAACATACATGTCGCTCCGGAGTCGCCCACAAGTTTTACATCCCACGACACAAATCGATAATAACGTTTCGGTTGCAATGAAATTAAACTGCGTCAAGGCGGTGCGGTAGCGGAGACGTAGCAGGCAGGCTGTATATGTAATTGGACGCTTTTTGTAGTCTATTGTGTGCATTAGTGTGTTGTAAGTTCGGTGCGTACTCGCAGAACTTTAGTTATTTAAGTGGAAAAGTTTGAAGCGTAACAATTTTGAGAGCGAACAGGCAAAAACACTTCGTTGCTCTGCGCACACGAGACGCAGGCGCCGCTTCTAGTAGTATGCCAGCAGTTCACGTGCGATATTCGTGTTCATGAATTACAGGACATTGTCATGCATTCGCGTAGTCCCTTTGGGCTGTTGGTCACTATTTGGTTGTGTTTACCAGTTTTCAACAACTTGAAACTGAATTTTTTCGACTGTTGATTCCAGAGCCTGATTTGTGCTTTCAGATTGTGAGCTGCGGCGCACAACGATTTAATTTAAAGTCGTGTGGCATGACTTTGATAGCTGCGCCACGCATCCAGCATGTTCGTACCGACGACAAATCTAGGTCTGAGCGTTACGGGGCATAAGCGTGATTGCTCAATTATACAATTAAAATTTATAATATTTTTCCAAAGCGTGTGCGATTTGCGTAGCATCGGTGATATGCAGCAACTTGAACGACATTAATTGCTTTGAATTAGCATATTACCTGATTATCGAATTATCGTATTTTGCAATTATTTGCTGGTTATTTGTGTATATATTTGTGCATGACGATAGCTTCGTGAATATGTCGTCACCATCACCACCCTCTCCACTCCACTGTTGATATGTGTGCACTGAATAACTGAGACATCATTGTTGAAGTTGGCGAAGTTCATGCCTATCTCTGGGCGCAGCACCGCGAAGTGCAATCGAGCAATTCACAACTTGCAACTCGCAATTGGTAACTGGGTAATACTGGGTAATTTGCAACGAACGGACGGCGACCCACAGCTGCGGGAAAGCAGCCGCGGTGGCGCTTCTGGGTCCAGCCGCGAGACTCCCGAGCATTCAACAACACGCCCGATGCGCTCAAGGGCATATAATATGCACAAAGTGGCGAATCCGTTCGGAGCACATTGGCGTGCGTTTATCTCCTTGAAGCACCACTTCTAACTCCTCTAACCCGATTTATGCAATCACTCTGATAACTGATAGCGTTCTAAATAATATTTCAGAAATGACATCAATATTGCATTGGATTCTATGCAAAGCTGTGCTGCAAATCGTTGTAGGTCGAATGTTGCATAAACGGTTCCAATTTGTATGTTTGCTAAATTCGTTAAATATAATGTAGTACGGCGAAGTAAGAACCGAGCAATTGTTGAAACCAAGAATGACATAATTGTTACGCGAAGTGTGTTGTGCATGCGGGCAAACCTGACATAATGGTTTGCGAGTCATGAAGAAGGAGCACTCGCAATCTGTGTCAGTTCAAGGTTATTGATTACTGCTCGCCGTTTATTACGTTCATTTGCGCTCATTACGTATGCAGTTGCGAATGCAGATGATCGAAACACAAATGCCTGAAAATGATGGCACCTGAATTATGCAGGTATTTATTTATGCTAGGCGCTATAGAGCAATAACAAGCACGCATATTTTATCCATCGGACGAACAACTATTTTATTTATTATGATTTAAATACAAATTCAACAACCAGAATTAATTATTAATATCACTGAATTATTCAGGTCCTTCGCACCGACTGGCGCTGCTATTTTCCGGAAGGTCCGTAGTGAGCCCACAAAAACCGTTAAAAGCATTTGTCATCAGCGTGCACGACAGTAACGAAAAAAACTATTATCGGAGCGTGGCGTGTCAATCCATATGAAGATTGAAATAAATGTCGCTATACGTTTTGCAAGTGCATTTTACTGTTTCGCTGTTAAAGGGCAAAAATGTAGTTCTCACCAAAAAATTCAGAAAAGTTCACATGGAAAGCCAAACCGGAGGCGCAGACAATGCGCGTAGGGTGTTTGGATAAACTCTTGAAATGATGAGTATAAGAAAGACCCCGAAGGTGGCATGTTGCGAACGGCGGCCAGGCGCAAAACCGTAAAATGTACAAAAACTTTTTGTTGGCAAGAAAGATAAAAAAGATAAGATAAAGTGAAGGTATAAATGAAAGCCACCGTAAAATAGTAACGTTTCATAAAGCCGTAAATATGTGCGCCCTTAAACACTTTTTTTTTATATTTCCACGGGTTCACACCGAGAAAAGCACTGTGGAATTGAGTAAAAATTTCCACCGGCGAATTGATCCGTAAAATGATACATAAACCGCCAACGATTTGTTTCATTTATGTACTGTACGCGGTTCGTACAATTCTAATGTAAACAATTAAACGCTCGTTTGGAATACTTTGTTTAACATTTGCGTTCGCCATTTATCGCTAAATAAATTATTGGACACCACAGATTAATTTAGAGTACTAATGACAAATAATTATTCAAACACTAATGCATATACAGTGTAATTTCTTTATAACCACACACGTTTTGTAGAAGAGGTGACGTTACATCGATTGACAAAAAAGTAACGCAAAGAATATAAAGATGTCAACAATGAAATAGGGCAAATTATGTCGTTTTGGGGTGTTTGTCATTCCATCGAGTCATGTTATAAAGAAGCTATAAAATAAATTTACGGTCAAACAAAACTCAAGACTTAAAAATTAAGTTTTAAGAATGAAAATGATGAATTATTGAAAATTTATTTGGATATATCTAAATGAACAAAATTTCCGTAATTCCACATACATCTATATGGCTTGTTTTATTCAAATCTGTCAGTTGCCACTTCATTAACATGCATGCGGCTCGTTACGTAATTACCACTAGCGTTTCAAACCATTCAAACCATTAGTACACAATGGTATGGACACAATAATGTTCTATCATAGTATGAGTATGAGACTAGAACCACTATCGACCACGCATGGTTGCAGTGTGCTATTATTGTTTATTAGCCCGATTTGGATATTGAACTCTATTTGTTGCTATCGCCGGTTGCCGAGTTGTGAAGTAGTAGAAGCAAAGAGTTTCTACAATAAATAGTGAATTTAACTTAATAAAATTTACCTTGATAAATTCTGTATTTAATGATGACAACTGCATAGAAGGTCTCCTCACTCAGGAGAATTATATAATACTGAACAGAATGCATAAGTTTAAATGTTGTGTTATGGAATGTTTAAGTTCAGGGTGTGACTCATTATAGGAAGAATACCTTGACAGTATATGCTTTTGAATGCATGTTCATTTTTAAATTCCATGATAGAAATTATAAATTTTGCGCAGATTAGTGGAAATTGATTAAAACAAGTCTGCTGTGAATAATGTGATTACTCAGTTTGTTTCCCCTGCAATGAAACAACATTTAAAATTGCAGGAGTTTGATTTTTGGGGTAAGATATTAGTTTAAATAAAGTATAGAATATCTATAATATAAAATTGAATCGCAAAATGTGTTGGTAAGCGCAAAACTCAACAACGCCAAGACCAATTTGACCAATTCTTTTTTTTAATGTTCGTCAAAGTCCAAGGACGGTTTTTACGGCGATAAATGTTCGAATAATTGCTGGGCAAACCCTAAATCAGATTCAATGATAGTTATAGTTAAATAGTTGAATCCGAGATGGCGCGTTGAAATGCATTATTAACAATTCTTTAAATAATTAATTTCTATAAAATAAAATTGCGAATCTTATTGATAATATTGACACATACTATGTCTAGGACAAGAGAGTAAAAACGAATTAGGTACCTACATATTTATTAAACACTACCG